CTATTCGAAAAGAAATATCGAATCGTGTTTGTATGTACACACATTGTCGTCGAATATACGAATGAACTAATTTCGGATGGCTCTTGATTTTCGACTAGTCGACCAGTGCTATTGCACGGAGCATTGCACAGGCAGAACATCATGCAATTAGAAACTAATTGCGAGTTGACATTACGGGTTTTATTTTTCAACGCTTCAATTACTGAACTGAAAATATACTTTAAAATCAAATAACAATAGAAAAAGGGAGCTACGTTGCCAAAAGGTCGGTCGGCACAGAGTAGATTTCGTCTATACATTCATGTTACCGACACACACACACGCACGCACGCACGCACACACCTATACACATATATTATTCTATTATACGTGTGTATACGTGTGTAAAGCTTTTGCTGGCTCCTCACAGATGCGCGTCTATACGCGCGCACATTATCATACAAACTCTAAGTGCACCTAGATTGTTACGCCGAATGTTAAGAGCAAGAGAGAGAGAGAGAGAGAGAGAAAAAGGAACGAACGATGCAGGAAATTCTAATTTGCTAATAAAATTAAAGAAAATAGTAGTTTTACATAAATTACCTATCGTAATATATGAAGGCACTGCAATAGAACAATACGAATATTAGAAATTCGTAATCGGACAATATCGATATACGGATGCTGTGACACAACGCACCGATATTTTTGTTTATTTTTTTTTCTTAATAATTACTTACTTGCGATAGCACTCGTTGAGCGTTGCTAAAACCTGTTTCAGTCCCTTGGTACCGAATTCTTGAACCCAACTCAAAGGATTGTTCGTCAATGCTATCCTCAACGATTCGATGCAGTTGTAGATTTTGTTGACGCTCAAATCGGGCTGAGCCAAATACTGTATGTAATCCGCCGGCTTGTCAAATTTTGACCTATTCTCCTGTATGCTGCCTTTGTAATGCAAGACCAGCATCTCTCTCTTCTTTGTTTCGGATTGCTGCCGCAACGGTTCTTTCTTCTCCTCGGTCAGATTCATGTTGGCCTGTTCATCGCGAGAAATACTTGATCATCTCGAGAGAGAAAGAAAAAACCATCCCCCGAGGATGCGTCTGTGATCGTGCAATGATCGATCGAGAAATCGACCCTCAACTCACCAACATCTCTTCGAACTTGTCGTTCACCGTCTCGTTGTCCATTCTTTCGATGATACAACGTTGCTGTTCGATTTCATTGAAATCGTCGCCGGAATGGGGTCGTGGTATCGTGTTGTTTCCCGAACCACTTCTGACCCCACCTCCACGCCCGGACTTTTTTGGCCGGCCGAACCATGTGTCCAGCTGAAACAAACGAGAGAAAAGGAGTGAGAATGGAGGAAAAAGAAAGAAAGAAAAAGAAAATGAAGAACGATGGCAATTGTCGCTAATTCTAATACGACCGGATGCTTCAATATGAACGGAAGTTTCGCACGCGTGAGGCGTTTACATAGCCCGCGCGACGTCACCACCCATTTTCGATGCACGCATCATCTATCTACCGATGATTCGATCGAATGTGCAACGTCGTCAAATTATCGCTTTCTTGTTTTTCCTTTACTGCTTCGAAGCAGTTATTCGCTTCGGTCGGTGAAAATACACACTTTCACCGTTCCAGACTAAATCTTACCCAATCTGTGATCATCGGTATCTTTTCGTTGACGATAACGGTAACAATGCGCTACAACCGCGCGATTCATCGGAACTTTTCTCACTGAATCCAGCTCTCTGGCAGCGGCTTTTACCACATATATAGGAATACTCCTGGCTCTTTCACGATCCACCTTTTCTTCTTTCTTTCTTTCTTTCTTTCTTTCTTTGCGACTTGTGTTTTAAAACTTCCTACCGCACCGTCTGCGATTATATCGAACGTTATCGCGATGATAACTTCTCAACGCCGCGATATTATCCGCGATAAAGATGAACATTTCTCGACGATAATACGAAGCTAATTATTCACGTCGTACGTCGAAATTCGAAATTCGAAAATAATCCTTCGTTTTTCGCTCCGATAGCAAATCGGTAAATGGGAAAGATCGCAACGCGAGGGAATGCAAGGAATTTTGCGAGTGCATACAGCGGATCAAGGACAAATGCGCGTGCGAGCGTATCCCCGGCTCGGATAGGCACTGGATCGCGAAGCGAGGAGAAATCGAATCGCGAGGTAAAATCGAGTTAACGGCATCAAGACCGAACGCGAGTCATCATCGAACGGACCGAAAGGAGGGAAGTTGGCACTCGCGTTGGCTCGATCGCCGCCGTATTGGAGAGATCGCGCGTGCGTAGTCGGCGCCGACGTCTCGCGGCCCACGATCGGCCGTCGTCACGTACCGATATTATTTCGCGCCTCTCTCGATTCGCTCGCCGACACTGACGAAACGAGGCATTCCCGTTCCCTCCGCGAATCTTTATAATGTTCATCGTCGAACGACTGTCAATCTTGCCGTTTTTCAATCGTTTAACACCTTCCAGACGGACGTCTATAATTCTTTTTACGTGTATCTTTTATATTAACAAAACTCAAATGTATTTAATCAGACAACTCCACTCCTAAAGTGTCCGCTCAACTGTTCGAAACACCGGCTAAACGAATATTGCAAGTGTCGGTCCTCTGGGACTGACACCGGTCCTCTCGGACGTTCCCCCTACAATTAGTGTCACTGACATGTGCTATCCTTGCTCCTTATCCCTTAGTTTTCTTATTCTATCGCGAAGAACGAAGTAAACAGCATAAACGACTTGGTCGCAATTCTGGCAATTCTGACGAGGAATCATTCATATCACAAGCACGATGACTCGCGTCAGATGTTTCTTTTACGTCATCGTGCTTCGCCTCGTCATAACCGCGAATAGTCGTCAAGGCCGCGGCAATTCGTAATAAAAACGTCGCCTCAAAATGATCGAGGCACCGCTACGAAAACAAAGTATGACACAAAGAGGTCCGTTCCCTATACGACTCCGCTTTGCTAGCCTCCTTATTATTAGCTAGAAAAACTGCAATGACAAGTTCGTCGATAACGCTGAACGTGACGAACAAGGACGTAGTCACACAATGCGAGGAAAGAATCGCACGCGCGCGCGGATGAGATCAGTTGTGCGAATGATCGATGATGTAATTCACTACAACGACCAACAGAGCTCCACTACTCCGTCTACTCTTCTCTCCTTCAATTTTTTTCTTGCTTTTTCCCATCGTCATTTGTTCCTCTCGTTATCTACCTACTTTTTCCCGCGTCAGAAAAAACAACTGCAACTGTTTCTATTGTACTATATAAACACAGCACAGACAGACTCTCGGCCTCTTGCACACCAACCATGTTGGAGATAAATCAACAGAAAGGATCTAAGGTATTTGAAATTTGTGGAATGCGAACGACGACGAAGAGAAAACCGGTTTTTAATCATTAAATTCTTAAAATTCTGTTATTCGAAATGTTTGAACATTTGAAGAAATTTCTATTCTTTTCGAATTGCAGAGAAAGAGAAGATGATGAAACAAAGTGAATGAAAGAGGAAATGGACAGAGTCAAGGTATATCGAACTAAATTGTCGTGTCCCTGATAGTATGTTACCTTGTCCTAATATCTTATATGTCGCGCATTACGCTTTCGTGAAATAATAGTCTTTTCAGTATGTGAAACAATTTACCTTGAAATATCGCCATGACTCATACGCGACAGTATTTTATTTTCGATTACAGCGGTCGAAAACTTGACCAACTTTTACCTATTCACGCTGGCAAAATCAACGCAACAATGTTCTACACTCGGAATTGAAACATATTTCGATTTAGTATCTTCTTCGTTATCGTGTTGCGCCGCAAAAAAAAAACTGATAATTATATGGCAGGAAATGTAACCATGTGTGTATACTATACGTATCGGTGTCTCGTGTTTCAACTTAACGCTATGTTTATTTCTAATGCAGTTTCTACTCGGAAAAAGCTGCCTTCAATTGCAAGAAATTTCATAACTTTTTCTCATAATTTTTCATCAATCGTTCCAATCGTTTGACTTCGATATTGAATAATTTCATCATGAAACTTATTATGATGCTTGTTCCTTATTACGTCCAAATTGTTCCAAAGTGCTGGAAGATGTTGGATTTGTTCCTAAATTTTATAAAACTCAATATTGCAAACATACTAAATCTAATCTTACGAGATTCAAAAATATCTTAATTTTGCCTTTCCATCCTTTCCTCTTATTTTTGGTTACATTTACAATATAGGGTTGATACTGTCGTAGGGGTGATACAATATAGGTTGATAATGTCGTATATACTTTACATTTTATAAAATTGAGATTACTTACGAAACCTGCAGACGCTTTATCTTTCCTATTGGCCATAGTTTAATCTTCTCCAATCGTTACCTCCTATTGTGCATTTTTCTTCCCTATAAGAAATATAACCTTGTACAAGCATGAATTTTACATCTTAAAGTTTCCCAACTCATTGGTAATGGTTTATTTATCAATGACTTATAATTACTGCATTATCAACGTAGCTACAATGAATTATCTTATGTAGTTAATATTTTAGATAACCGTATGCAACAATGCTTTGAAAAAATTCAAACAGGTAATGTCAAAACTAACCGCTGTTTTACATGTAACAAAATGATTACTGAATATTCTGTACAATATTTTGACATTGAACAAAAATATAGCAAACTTGAGCCATCAGTAACTATCGTATTAAATCTTAATATGTTTTAACCAATGTAAATAAAATTTTAAAAATGATTTTAAAAAGACAACTATAATACTAAAGCTATAATATTAGAACAATAAGAAATCAAAAAAAGAATAAAATTACTGTGTAAACATTTAGACAAAGCAATACGATGAAACTATTATCAAGTTACTCTAAATATGAAATTTTTACAGGAAATTATGCTACCAAAAAGAGGTAATTAACTTTGATTACACGTTTTATTTGAATATAAAGCAACTTCTTATAACTTGTATATAATCGTTCTGAGCACTTACCTGATCTGATTTGAAATTTTACACACCAAGGCATAAACTTTTGGTAACTATGAATTCAATGTTGCTCACATTCGATCATAACTTATGTTGAATCAGTCGGCAAGCAAACTCAATAGTTTGCCATAAATCGTAGAAAGAATACTTGTAATTTTTCGAGCAAACTGAAATGACCTTTCCACAGATAAATATTCATTTCATCCGTTATGACAATGAAACACCTGCCAATACAATACAACCTCCTAAGGAGAGAAGAATCGTCAAGTTATTAACCAAAATTTGCTGCACCTTCACGCGTAAAAGTAATAAACTAAGGAAAAACACTGATAACGAATTGCATGGACTAGGGAAAGAAAATAGCCGTATCAGTTAATATTCGTTAAACGAATAACCGTACCACGAGTAGCATGCCGAGGAACGTTGCTCGAACAACAGCGCCAATCAGAAACGAACCGCAAATGTCAGTATTTTGCAACAAATATCCACGTCGGTAATGCAGAAATGTTTTTATCGATATTCCTGCTGCCCCCTTACAATGCTATTTGGTATTAAATATTTTCTAACGGTAGTCGCGCGACAACCAAGTTTGTTAATTGTACCAATTATTACATTATGTATTACAGTACAGTCTATTTGGTTAGATTATGTTCCATTTACGTATAAAAACAATACGTCTATTCGTCGAGCTTTCTTCTTTTATTATAACGTGAAATGTAATCGAATAACGAGTTCCATAGAATGCAAAACATTTATTGGTTTATATCGATTTAATTGAATTTAAACTATATCAGTTCTGTGTATACATATTAAAGTAGAATTATTACCGCCGATCATCGCAATAAAAATGTATGTACAATACACGATCTCATTGAGATTCTCGTGTATCAAAACTAGTGTTGGGTAAAAATTGATGTTAAAAAGGATTTTAATCTTTCTGGAAATCTCTCTCTTTCCATCTCCAAAAAGACAATCTTATATCTGAATTCGTATCTACTAATATCTCTCGTGTAAACACAATGAATGCGACGTTGCTATAAAAATATATCTATAATGAAAGATGAAATGTATGTTTCTTCGATTGATTCGATCTAGTTTACGAAATATTAGATTTTTCTTTTTCTCGTGGAATTTCTTACTTATATATATATATATATATTTAGAAACATGCACTATAAAAGAGAAATCGAGTTACTATTTCACACGGTATACCGACTGACGACTATTCGTATTCAAATATTATGTACATAAAATTACTTTCGCGGTTGATTTTACTCGATATATGTATGTACGTACGCATGCAAGTACACACATGAATCTACGCGTATGCGTCAACGTTACTTTGTCAGTTATTATACACTTCTTATTATATATTCCCTTCAATGAAATAATATAAAAGTTACAGCGTAGCTTGTATTGTTGTATAGTACGTGCACAATATTTTCTGTTTGGGCGATTGGAATAGAAAGATCCACAAGTCTTACGAGATTATATGCAAGGGATTAACGCGAATTAAACTTTATAATACAGTTTAATTTCAAAGATTAAAAAATTTGTACAGTCTCAACAAATATCTTTTATCCGAGAGTAAGGAATCGAAAGGTACTCGCTTCAACTCGGTTATCCGATCATTATTTTACAAATGACAAAGATATATCTCGTTTCTTATGAAATTTCAACTAGTCTCGGTCCACCACGTCCAAACGATAGTTCTTTTGTTGTTTCGCAGTACTAATTTGTATTGCCTGCTCTATGCTCGTGGTTAATTAATTTATGGACCAAAAATTTGCCAAAATTACTAAGATTGTAAAAGCTAGTGAAACTTAGAGGCAGTACGATTAGATATGATGAAACATATTTTTCATAGGAAGAAAAAGTAACTGGCAACATTCGAAACCTTATGCTACAAAAGGAGAGAGTATTAGTGTCGGGTAGCAATGCAACATAATGCATAATTGAATATAAATTCGACATTTTATATATATATATATATGTGTATATATATATACACATATACATACACACACACACACACACATATATATATATATATATTAATTTTAAACCAAACATGTCGAATCATCTTGTTGATTTCACG